TGGCAGCCCAGGTTCGGATCCCGGGCGCACACCGAGGCACTGCTTCTCCTGCCATGCTGAGGCCGCGCCCCACATACAGCAACTAGAAGGACGTGCAGCTATGACATACAACTATCTACTGGGGCTTTGGGGGGAAAAATAAATAAATAAAATCTTTAAAAAAAAAAATCACATTTAGTTTTATGTTTAACAAATTGTCTTTATTGAGCAAATACATGAAAAGAAACACAAAATTCAACAAATGTATATCAGTGGAATTTTTCATTGAGCCCCAGCCAGCCTTGGAAAATCCGGGCCATATAATTGCTATATATGCAAAGCAGAGAACCCAAGGCTAAAATTCTCCCTTTTCCCCAAAGTATGAACAAGTTTTTTCTCCTGGCCCCATGACACCCAACACATCGACTGATTGACTGATTGAATTGAATTGATGCTTTCATATAGAAGAAATGTTCAAAACTTTAAAATATTACCACTACAACGAGAAAGAGCCGTACAGCTATATTTCTGCTCGTCTGTTTTGATGACATTTTTATATAAAATCCATAATTTGGGGGGACATACAGCAGAGTAGTTAAGAGCACAGGCTCTGGAGTCATAAGCCTAGGTTCAAATCCTGGCTCCATCGCTTCTAGCTGTGTGACCCCAGACAGGTTACTTAACTTTCTGATTCCATCTCTTCTTCTGTAACCGTGGATAATAATAATTCTCAGAGAGGTATTGTGAAGATTAGAGGAGATAATCTCTGAAAAGCTGCTTAGCAGCACAGTGTCCGGCACATACCAAGATGAGATAAATGTTCAAGGTGATTTGATGAATGTTAAGAATGCTAACCTCCCTTCTCAGGTAACACTTCTATCTCCATTGCTGTGTGATAAGGACCATACATTACACTTGTAGTTACAGTTTAATCAGTTACTCTGGAGAGGGGAATGTTTCTCCTCAAAACCAACTGTTCCACTGTGACTTCTGATTAAAAGCAAGTATCATTGCTGAGTGCTGTAAAAGCACCCCCAGCTGACAAGTCTGTCACCCTGTTTCTGCAGGGCTCCCCTGAAATCATCCTTACTCCTCCACGTACTGATTGCCAGCCTGGCGATAAGCATGGCTGTACAGCAGGAATTCATGAAAGTTCAGACAGTCATCTTGTTTCCAACAGCCTGGCTGAACAAAAGGTCACAGAAAAGTGGCCGGCCCCAGCCCTCAAGGAGTTTACCATAAACTTGGGGAGACAAAATGCACGCACATAAGTCACATACAACAGAAGACAGTTTAGAATTATGCGGCACTAAATATCAAAGTAGACAACAGGCTCCCAGGAATTCAGAAGTATGGAGAAGGGAAGAAGCCCAGGGCTCTAAGAGCAAGGGCATGGACTTGGGTCGGCCACAAATGTCACTACAAATCCACCCACCTACCCCAACAGACTTTGAGCTTTGGGGGCAGAAGTAGTGTTTTCACCATATTTGTGTTTCTAGGCCCCAGCCTCAATGGAGGGAGATAAAGGAGGAAGGGAAGTTCGGAGGGAAGCAGAAGATGGAAGAGAAAGTAAAAGGAGGATCTGCCTATGACCCCCATCCCAACCTCGTCCTCCCCACACCCCCACCTCTAACCTCAGCTTCCAACAATGCAAGTGACTTGCAGTCCCCGGAAGCGTCTTTCTCTTTTCCACTTTCGCTCTTGCCGTCCCCTCTGCCTAAATTAAAGTACAACATTTTGATGCCCACATCAAAATATAAAAGTATCATGTGCACAATAAGCAATTCTGAGCCTTGCATCAATACTGAGCCTGGCTAGGGATGGGGTGAGGGTGCTTATTGAACATTAAAATAAAAAGACTAAAAATTTAATGGTTTGTTCTTTTGTCAAAAGGGCCAACAGCCCCACCAAAATACCACACACCCACCTGGGATACTCATGCTTTCCCCTTTCTTTGCCAGCTAACTTCTATTGTTAGGAGAAAGTCTTTGAAAGCAGCATTTTAATGGCTTTCTCATCACCTATCAATACTTAGCTTTTTTCTTTTTTATATTGTTTAATTACACAATACATGAAGACATTTTCCTTATTAAAAATATTCAAATAATACAAATAAAATCTCCCTTGTCCACCACTCCCACATTCTAGTCCCTCCACTAAGAAGCCCCTATTTTCAGTTTGATATGTGTCTTTCCAGATCTTTTTCTACACAATACATTCATTCAACAAATATTTATTGGATGCCTACTATGTGCCAGGCTCTGTTCTAGGCCTGGAGATACAGGCATGAACAAAACAAAGTCCCTCTCTTGTGGCATTTCATTTTAATGGTAACACACTTGGACATAGAGAAATAATTCATTTTGTTTTAATTTTTAGATAAATGGTGATATACTGTACATATTGTCCTTATAGGTACGTTTTGGAGATCTTGCTACGTCAGTACACATAGATCTGCCACTACTCTTTCTTTTAATAATTTTATTTATTTATTTTTCCCCCCAAAGCCCCAGTAGATAGTTGTATGTCACAGCTGCACATCCTTCTAGCTGCCGTATGTGGGACGCAGCCTCAGCGTGGCCAGAGAAGGGGTGCGTCAGTGCGCACCTGGGATCCGAACCCAGGCCGCCAGCGGCAGAGCGCGCGCACTTAACCGCTAAGCCACAGGGCTGGCCCTGCCACTACGCTTTCGAATCGCTGTGTAGTATTCCACATTACAGATGTTCCCTGGTTTATTTAAACCATCTCCCCAGTTTCACATTTAGGTTTATGTCAATCTGGGTTGCAAGTACTGGAAAGTGACTGGCTAACATCACAGAAACTGGATTTGTTGGAAGGATTCTAGGTTGAAGAACTGGCAGGAAGTAAGGAGATTAGGGAGCTGAAACACAGGCAGCATCACACATTCGGTGCCACTTGACTCTCAGCACAGTCACCCCTCCACTGATTTCCCATCAGTCCTTGGTTCTCTGTGTCACTCCCTGGGGAGGCAGAGTCCGGGGTGAGAACGTCTGATTGGCTTGGCCTAGGTCAGTTACCTCCACCCTTCTTCCCTGTCTCCCACTAAAGTTCTCCTAGTGGGGAATTACCCCTAAAAGGGGAAAAAATTAAAAGACAAATATGTGATGCAAGTGATGCCCAATTTTTTCTTCCTGGGATACTTATTTATTTTGGGGTGAGGCAAAGCTTAACCCTTCGATCTCCTTCAGACACACCAAAGACTAACATTGCATTATTCCACATGGAAAAAAAGAGAACTGTCTTCAGCTTCGCTGTGGAATCCTCTTCAGGACTGGCCACCGGGCCAGACAGTGGGGGAGGGAGCTCAGTGAGGTGAAGGGAAGAGGAACCAATTCTGTGCAGCTAAAAATGACC